AAAAAAAAAAAAAAAAAAAAAACGGTAACCAACTTCTGAGTTTCCTCACCAGAAGTGTCTCCATCCTCGGAGACGGAAGAGGTGTCGGATTCCTCCTCGTCTGAGCTGGAAGCTTCATGCTCCTGTTCTTCTACCTCCATCTCCTCTGCTACGTTCTCCTTCTTCTCTCGGTCACGGTGCACCGGCATCGCACCAGCAACTCCAATTTAGACTCTAAAACGCTGTGAAACAGAGATGCGATTAACCCTCCTGTTACGTTTGTTTCTGAGGTACAGCAAGAATGTTTGTGGGTCAATTTGACCCAGGGAGTGTTTAATCATGCAGTAGTGTCAGAAACCAAAAAATTCCTCCAAAACATTTTTGTATCTGATTATTAACTCCAATACTAACAATTTCAATCAATATTTGTGCAATGATGGTTTTTTTTTTTATTATTTCTTACAAATAAAGGATCAATGATGACAACTTACTCATTTAGACATAAAAAGTGGAATTTATTTTTTTATGTCCACTGAAAAAACCTACACACAAAAAACAATTTCCTTCAAATTGATCTTTTGTAAAAAAAAAAAATAATAATAATAATTATTATATTACATTTTGATTTCTGTCTTTCAATGGGTGATCTTTATAATTGAGCTTGAGACACGTATACTGTTCAGGGTCAAATTGACCCGCTGATCAAAATCAAGACAAATGAGTCATGCAGACAGTATTTATGTTTTCCCCCACTTCTGCTGAATGTCCACTCAGTGTGGGTGGAATTTGCCCACGGGAATAGAATAGGTTCCCGTCAAAAGTTGTATGAACACCTGCTTTCTCGCAGTTTCCCAGTGAAGTAAAGAGAATAGTGAGAAAGTGGGTTTGTGGTAAAATGTGGTTCATAGCAGCAAGGAAACATATAGAATTGGACATTTTTTAAAATCTTTTTTAACCTTCTACTTGACTGTCAAATTGACCCGAACAGTTTCTATGTAATATGTAGACGCAGAGGATGGTGCAAATGTGTAAAATGAATAAATTTTCAATTTGTATGTAGAGTGCACCTATTAGGACAAATAGAAAAAGTTTCATGCAAAAAAAATACTTCCAACTATTTGAAAAAATAAAAATTAAAAATTAAACTTTAAACGGGTCAATGTAAGACAATAGAAAAGCTTCAATTAACACGCTTGCACATTATAGAATATGATTAAATAGAAACATTTACGATTTTTTATTTTCCCAAATTCTTCTTATATCCTGTTTACACCACATGTGTGTCTGAGGGGGTAGGGGGGGAATAATCAGTAATTACATCCAATTGATATACTTATTAGTTAAAATGTAAGCAAACGTAGCGCAATATGTGACTGGTCTTTTGTATTTTATTAATAATTCAACTTTACAAACAAATAATGTTAGCACTTCGTTAGCATGTTAGCAAACCAGTGAGATAACAATCATAACATCACAAATTCGCAAAATAAGTAAATATGTTTGAATCGCAACTTACATAGTTTTGAGAAAGGCGATAATTACGAGAACCCTTTCAAATTATTTAAAAAACCCCATAAAATGTTAAAATAGTTTTTCTTTGCGCACAACTTGTGTCCCTGCCATGCTAAAAACAAATCTCAGCTATGGGTTTTCATGGGAACTGTAGTTTATTTCGATGCTAAGACTAACTAATGAAGGACCTAAAAATGGGCTTTGAACTGCATTACCCAGAAGTCACTCTAAGGGGGGAGAATTCCTTCATAATGTTTAAAAAGGCGTTAAAAACTTTATTTGTTGTTGGCTTTTTAGTTTTTAAAATACATAAAAAATTTGTGCAGCATATATTACAACCACTTCAATAAAAGTTTGAAAACCGGTGACTTGTATTTATTTTGATTTTTTTCTTATATCGCTCACTTTGTTTCCGCCATGACAGCCACCGTCGTACGACCCGCCGCTGACCAGAGTGGAAGAAGGGAGGTGCGGTTTAGAGATGGATGCGTCGCCCCGCTACGTCTTACACATTCGCCTTTAATTTGACCAGAATGGGGGCGATTTTGCTGCTGGATATTTTCAGCTCTGTAGCAGAGAACTGGTGTTAATGAACTGGGAGCGACGAGGTTCTTGTGACGGTTAAAGATTAACGTCTGAGTCTGTTTCTGCGGCTCAGCTAGCCCCCTCAGCTTCTGTTCCTCACCGTCGCGGTTTTTTGTTGTTGTGTCTCCTGCCTCGGGAATGTTTTCCAAAAAGCCTCATGGAGACGTTAAAAAATCAACACAGAAAGTGTTGGACCCGAAGAAGGACGTGTTGACGAGACTCAAGCATCTCAGAATTGTCATAGGTGAGTTAAAGATCCACAGTAAGCAGCTACGAGGTTAGCTTGTGTTTCCCTGCCTGTGTATACACATACTTGGTGCATGTCAGGCCAATCTCGAGCATATATAAGTTGCTCTCTGTAGGAGTAAATGCACAACTAATTATTTTTTAAGGCTTCAGTGATTTATTACTGTTATTTTCAAACATAAATAAATCCATTGTGATATTTCAAACATTAGTTAATCTTGGAAATGACTATTTTCCTTAAAAAAAGACGTTATACGTTCACACAATATTTTTCTTTTACCGTGTTACAAATTGAAAATATATTTTGCATGGTGCTTTAGGTGTAAAAAGCCTAGCTGTGTAGAGTTTATTATTCAGACTGAGAGTAAATTAGGCGTTTTTATGACGCTTTTAGTTATTGTTTATGTTTTTGGAAAGTGGAGTTTGGAAGATGTAGGTTTAATTTGGTGGTTTGATAATGTTTTTTTTTTCTATGACAGTCACAATCATGTATATAAGTTGTGAGAAGCTCTGTAAAGCATATTTAAGTTAGTGAAAAAACTGAAGAGAAAAAGTTTAAGAGAATCTTGACAGTAATGTTTATGTAGCATAATGTTAAATTTTCGACTGTCTCTAAGTTTTTTTTTTTACTTAATATAAGTTCCATTTACAGAATAAAAGCATTTTTTCTCTATCTTTAATGTGACACATATCCTGTAAAATTCAACTGATAAGCCAATCTTCTAAAGTAAAAAATTATGAGCAAAGTAAAGCTACAATTATCTTGATGCATCGGTCTGTTCACATTTTGTTGAAGCAGCTTTTGATTTATTTGCATCATTCAGTCTTTAGTTTTCATCTGTTATCAATTATGGTTAATCCAGAATTATTGCAGTGTTTTTGTTTTTTTTTCTGACAATTATTCTGTCAGTATTCTGTTGTGCATGAGGTTTAGGAATACAGTTGTAATGTGAAATATTCTTATTCCAGAGAAAGCATCCAGACTGAGCAAAGTCGACCAAATCTTGTGGGAGAAATTTTGTCAAGTTCTCATAACCAAATGGGAATATTTCATACTAACCAAACAGAACCTACAATCCTTAGAAAACATGGCTGTGTTTCATAAATTATGTCAGCTTTGTTGTGTTGTGTGTCCTGCAGGCTAAAATGCAGACACTGCGATGGCTACATGTTGTCAGTCAGGTTGTGGCGATTTCTTCACGGGTGTGCCTGCGTTTCTGCACAGGAACCTGAAGAGTGACAAGTGCTGAGTGGGTTTTCTCCATGCTTTAGTGCAGAAAGAATTTGTGATGTGTCGGAGAAACGAGGCGATGACCCGATATTTTACCTGCTGCAGCTGAGAGTGCTCGGGCAAGCTTGGGTCTCACTAATAGCTCATGCCGGATGGGGAAATAGCCTCTAGTATTTCCTCTCTGTGTCCAGTACCGTAGCGGAACTTCCTCTGTTTTTGTCTTTGTGAGAGAGGGGTGTGCCCCCTTTCTGTGCTCTGCAGGGAACTCAAAATCATGATAACAACCACAGAGACCAGCAAAACATGCCTGCACCAAGACAGTTCCAGTTTGGGTGATGAAAGAGCTCTAGATTTGGTGCAATTGCTAGTTTAGATATTCTTGTTGTTATAAACTTAAGGAAGGTTTTATAGACTTTCAGTCTAATCCAATGTGGCTCATTTCTAAAGTATTTAAACTATGTTCTATACAGAAAAATAAACAAAAGGCCGTATGCAGGATCTTGATCAATCAGTCATGATCTGTTCTCAGACGAGGGATTAATCATTGATTGTGCAGTTAATTAGATGCTTTACCTGACTGAAGTGTCCCTCTCTACGTTTTTAACATCGGTCAAACATTTGTATTAGGTTAGGGCTTTTACAGCAGTTTTAGCTTATTTCCTTTTAAAGATATTAATAAAAGCTTATGAGTCAAACCTCATACTGCCCAACTCAAGCGGAAATGGTGTCAGTAGTTTGTGCTGCAATGGTTTGTGGCACCAACATTTTAGAGATTATGACTTAAAACGGTCTCCCAGAGGTTTAGTTTATAATTTCTTGAAAATGATGGTGGCACAAAACAACATCTTTGCAACTCAAACCAGCACAAATGGAGCACAAAGCTTGAGCATGAGAGACTTTACTGTAGATGAAGTCTCAGCAATATAATCCATCTTCTATAGGTGCTTATTTGGACTTGGTTATGGGGATTTGATCCTGTGGGTGAGAGGTGGTGTACATCCTGGGCAACACACACGTCCATTGTCTCTGTTTCAGACATCTGTATTTTTGTTCCTTACTGTTACTTTAAACTCCAGTAATAATAACAAAGCAAATCTTGGGTTCCTTCTTGTTACCTTTCTAAATCTGTGGGGAAGGAAAGGCAGTCAAATCAAGCACCTCCATTTCTAAGGTTTATTTGGTCAGCAAAGTCTTTTATGTAATATATAACAGACAATAAACAAATCTTAATGTCTGTTCCACTTGACATTTTAAGCCTTGGGTTTCACCCTATTATTAGCAATCAAAATCTAAAATAGATTAAGAGTCAGCTGCACAGTGTTGATAAAAGTTTTGCTTGAACGTGTGTGTCGGAGAAGATAAACCTCCCAGGCAAGACCTTACAAGGGTCTGACACTGATGTGAGTTTGACTTTCTGCTGTCGTATACGGAGGAATCCAAAATGTGTCTCTGCAGAGACCCGGGAATGTCAGTAAAATATTATAGAGTCAGCATTGTGTGACTGGCAAAGAAAGAAAAAGAAACACAAATCCAAGTGAGAGAAAAAGCAAACGCAGAACATCATGACATGAGGTAAATTTGCAGAAGTCAGATTAAACAGAGTCCATTTTTCTCAGAACTGCTTCCTGATCAGAAATGTGTAATCTTTAACAAAGAGTCTTATTAATTTTTTACCGCTGATGCATTTAAACATAGTCTTCAACTGTAGAAAGCAGATAAGAAAAAGAACACTGACATGCATTACTTAAATATGTTGGAAAAAGTATTCCCCTTTATTCTGTAATATTCCTCTTATTTGTGTTAGGTTTTTTTTCTCAAGAGATGTCTCTTGGAGTGGAAAATGGATAAACTGAGGTTATAGAAAAGTTACGTGCAGTTGAATGTTATACAATTAGAAAAGTTTACTCCAGAGTGTCGGGAAGTAACCCTCCGACTGCTTATTGAACTTGATATTCGGTAGGAGCGATGTGCTTCCATCCTGGAGCGCTGATGGGTTCATGGGAGGCTGATTGCTCAGGCTGGTTGTCAGACGGAAAACAGTGGAATGTTTCCCCGGGATTGGGGGTTGAGTCTCTGCCTTAAAAGTTCAGATATGTTGAGTGATTGCAGGAGATGAATTAACCGACTGAGGATTTATCTGTGGTAAAGGAACATCCCGAAGAAGCTTAAAGCAGAGTTAATTTTTGGGCGTCATCATATCAAATCTCAAACTTCAATGCCTGACGCAGCGGTGTTCAGTTTGATGTATGAAGTTGTAAATAATGGGCCGCAACTGCAAACAGAGTAATTGGTTGACGGCTATTAGTTTCACTCCACAAATGAATGTGTAATGGGTATTGTTTTCTGCACTGGCAAGATTGTAAAAGCAAATTGGCAAGGCCTCTGTGATTCGTTCCTTCACGCGTTTCCCAGATAAATCCGAGCCTCGTTCTGTTTCTTCCTCACAGAAAATTCCGAGGCTCCAGATCTGAAGCAGTTCTTCGATATGTACTATTCCCATATCTACTATGTCTTCTTTGAAAACTTTGTCAACATCGAGGTCAGCCTCAAGCAAAAAGGTAAAGTGTTCCCATTAATAAACGGCCAAACAAGTTATCCATCGTCTTCCCTTTTTTTTTTTTTTTTTTTTTGTCTTTTAATTCGGCTCTGTGTTTTCCAGGTCATAAGTCTCAGAGGGAGGAGCTGGACTCAATCCTCTTCATCTTTGAGGTAAATTCCAGAAAGTGATAATGTATTATTTCACTCTGGGTAAACAAATGGCCTAATGTGTCTGTGAGTTTTATCAGCAGATAAAACTGTTTGTTTGTTTGTTTGTTTGTTTGTTTGTTTGTTTGTTTGTTTGTTTGTTTTGCTGAAGATAAATTAATAAAATACAGATCATTTCAAAATTTGTGACATTACAAAGAACTGGTGGTTTGTTAGATTGGTGGCTCTTTTATTTAATGGTCAGTGTATTTAAACAGTCAGATTTGTCCATTTCTAAAGTTCTGGAAAGTAATGAGCGTTGTGCTGATGAAAGATGTTGGTCCATTACCATTGATATTGTCTTCATGATATTTCACCATATTATTGCAATGTAATATTTTCCAAATAAATAGTACTCCTTTTACAGAGGAAAGAATAATGAGTTAAAAATCACTGAATAAAAATAAAATAAAACGTTAAGTTTACTACTAAATGGACACCTAATTTTCACCCTACAAATTTTACTTAAATTTTGGAAAAGTCTGAAAATTTTAATTTAAATCTCCCTCAAACCAATCTGTTGTATATTTTTTGTCTTTTAGAAAATCCTTCAACTTCTGCCAGAGAGAATCCAGAGTCGGTGGCAGTTCCACAGCATAGGTACGGTTTCCTTACGCCTCCTAACACATTTCACTGTCAAATATATATATTTTTTTATGTCAAGACTTGTTTCAGTCACATTTTCCTAACAATTTAGTAACAAGCAAGTGCTTTTTAAGCAGCTTTCTTGTTTAAACTCACAGTAAAATCAACCAGATAGCTGAGTAAACTAATGAAGCTGTGGCTCAAATTTTTCTCCCAGGACTAATTCTTAAGAAGCTGCTTCACACTGGAAACTCTCTGAAGGTAATGTAACACAAAAAGATATCTAACATCTCGATTCCCTGATCATAGATTAACTATTGTTGATTTGAATTTTTCCCTCTTTTTTATTTTTTTTTTATTTTATTCTTTAATCCAACTCTTAGATCCGTCGGGAAGGCGTGCGGCTGTTTTTGCTGTGGATGCAGGCGCTGCAGAGCAACGCTGAGAGCGAGCAGCTGTGCATGTTTGCATGTCTGATTCCGGGTTTTCCCTCTCCTCTCTTACGTGGGACCCCACGCACCCTGGACACTCTGATCAACCCGCCACTGAGTCTGACTGAGAGTTCGTACAACTAAAGCATACAGACTGTGGTTTGTTTCCCGTTGGATCACTGAACGCAGCTTTAATATTCCTGCTTTTCATTTCTGCAGCCCAAGTGACCCCAGAAGAAATCACGCCACTGGTCGCTCCACAGTCCGGCGATAAGAACCAGGACGACCTGACTGCCTTTTTCTTGGAAGCTCTGCTGAAATACATGGTAAACCAGGTATTATCCATTTTCTTACTAACATATTTAATGAAACCACGACGTAATAATGCTGCCATGCTTTACTAATATCACTAATGGTAAACACAGCGGCTGGTGTTGCTGATTTAAAGGCATATTGCATCCCCTGCTTGTAATATCCTTGCTTGCTGCTTTCACCCACATGTGTGCAAACATTCACACACTGATAAGATTCACAATGGTGCTTCTCTCTGCTTGTTCCCATTTTGTGCGGCCCAATTTCTCGTTATAATACAGGGTTTATTTTTGTTTGTGTGTATCGACCAGGCGAAGTCTCTGGAGTGGCGGTGTAAAGAGAACCATGAACGTGGCTTCAACTTCCTCTTTGGCCACTTCAGGAAGTTTTACCTTCCTCACATATTTCCCAACTTTGCTATGGAAACGAGCCTTTACAACCCCATCTTGGGTCAGTGCTCTTGCTGCAGGAAGAATCCCGTGAATTACATTGGAAACAGGAGATTTGTGTGTTTTGCTGAAGTGCATTTGATGTTATGTTTCTTTAGATGTACCTCCGATGCGTCCTAAGCCCTATTACAGTGTGGTGCGCAGAGAGCAGGACGGTGGTGAAACCATGTACTGCACCAAGGAGAGCTTCCTTCAGGCCAGAGTCATCTTTATCCGCTGGCTCGTTTCCTTCTGGTTGGAACCGCGACCCAACACCCAAACCCAGATCCCAGGGACAGAAGGCGAGAGCGTCCCAAAGAACATACAGGTACTGTCCTCTAAATACAGGGTTTATTAATGATTTTTTTTTTTAAAGAATCATCTTAATTTATTGTGTATGTTGTTTTAAATCCACAGAGAATCTCAATCAGAACTCAACCATTAGTCATTTACACTTTGACCACACAAGTTTGTTGCCATCCAAATTGATTTGTTTCCTGGAACAGACCAAGCTCTTAAGTATAATGCTGCCTTCACATAGGAAGCTTTAAACACAATTATTATGAGTGTGCTGCTTGACTGCAGAGTGGGGCTGCGCTGCAGCGGCCTGCCCATCCATCATGCCACCCTGTGCCTTGTAGCACTCTGTGCCTAATGCATGCTTTTTTGGTAGTGTTGAGGCTGGGACTTTTGGACGACCATAATGTTGGCATTAGCGTGGTTTATCCAGTCCAAAACCAGTTTTGATCTCTGTTTGGGATCATTGTCCTGTTAGAAAGTCCAATTGCATCCAAATTTCAACCATCTAGATGTTGATTGGAGATTAAACTGAAGAACAGAGAGGCCTCTTTCATCATCATTCCATCCAGTTTGGCAAGGCAAACTGCCATGAGGTCTAGCAGAAACCGTGTTAGACTTGTGGTTTCTGTATTCTTTGGTTGTAAAGCCTCATCATGTCTCCTTTTAAAGATATCTCAAAAGATCAATCTATATTTTTTCTTATTTTAAAACTCTCTATCTGGTAGCATTTCCAAGTCAAGCACAGAGGTGGTTGCTTGATTTCTAAGACTTTGGCTTCTATAGTCATGGTGCAACGCAGTCTTCTAACTGTTATCAATCGTCTGTCTCAGCGAGCAGCTGCTGGATTGGCCGCTCGCTCAGCAGGCAGCTCAGACGACGGCGGCGGAGGAGGGAGTCGGTCCGAGAGCCACCTAGAAAGCAGCGGCAGCTCGTTGGGTCCGACAGGAAGCAGCATCGGCGGTCCGGTGGGTACAGGAGAGCCGGAGCAGAGCCACTCCAACACTTCCACGCTGACGGAGAGGGAGCCCAGCTCCTCCTCCCTGTGCTCCATGGACGAAGAGCAGCTGACAGACATGGAGGTGGTGAGGAGAGTGCTGACCAACTCCAGGACCAACGTCAACTTCATCATAGAGATCTTCAGACAGGTGAAGGAAATTAAATATTAGCGATCAGTTTCAACTTTTTTGATATCTGGTCAGTTACAGTTTTAAATTAAGAGGGATGGTGATTTGGATTTGTTTTCTATTTATTTAACTTGTGCTATTTTCATTGTGCAAGTTAAAGAAAGGGAACCTAAGGCATGTTGGATAGCGGCTCCTTAGATCCAGAGCAAAAAGTCGGGTGCCTGCATCAGAAAAGAAAATATTCAGAGTGTAATGGTCGCTCCAGAGGAAAAAGTTACATTGTGATCTGCATATTTTGCGTAATTTCAGGAGCATTACACATGGAGCACATTTCCACAAAATGTTACTCTTTTGTTACATTGGGCCTGGTTCCACACACGAATACTGTTTCTCAGTAAATGGCAATAACAATGTCGCACCGTGTAAGGATATGTGCAGGGAATTAATACAACATTTGTATAATTTACTTGTGGGAGGTTAATTATTATTATTGTTATTATTTTTGCGTGGGGGGGGACAGTTGGAATTATTAATAGAAATGTACAGATGGAAATTAATTAATCTGCTTTCTCTCCTCTTACTCAGGGATTTCTTCTTCCCATGTGTGAGGCAGCTGCGATGCGAAAAGTGGTTCGTGTTTATCAAGAGTGGATCTCCATGGAGGACAAGCCAGTGTTTATGAAAGAGCCAGAAGAAGGTCCATATCCCATTCCTGCTGCTGGCAGTCTGGATGCAGGCTCTCAGCTGGGAGACAAAGAGGCTGAGGTGGGAATTTCTTCAGAAACAAAAGTTTAGTCGGTCAAAATATTCATAATTATAAGCAGCAGTTGAATAACGAATTTATGTTCTGCATTTTTTTCAGGGAATCAACAAAGAGATTGACAGCGAATTGCTGGAGTACAGTGTTCATGCTGGAGGTCAAACGACATTACAGGCAGGAGCTTACAGCACTTTGCTCTGGTTTACACTCGAGATGATTCTATCTTGTTCTTCTTTCTCATTTTATAAAACCCTTTGTGTTTTCTCCAGGTCTTCATCACCCACTCTGCCAACGTTTTCCTGCTGGAACCCGCCAATGACATCAAGATCCTTTTGGAGGAGCATGTTGACATGTGCAAACGGGTCCTGAACATCTACCGCAGCCTAGTTATGCACGAAACTATGGACCAGAAAACATGGTAAAAGAAAAAAATACCCAGAACAGGCCAATAAATATGTCAGTATGTCACTATTTTCAGTTTTCTACTACTGTCACAGATACATGTTTTTTTTTTTTTTAACATATTTGAAAACGTACTTTTACTTATTGTAGTAATACATCATATGGTGTTTATAAAAATTCAATTAAAAAAATCAAATAAAGAGACTTAGCTACACTTTTCCCTATAGATTAGAATGCTATTTATTTTTGGCAAACACAGAGAGTTCCATCTATTATTGATAAATTAAAACAAAAATGCTTAATCATATCTCCTTGTGTCCGATTAAACAACTATTCTGATTTCAAAAACAAAATAAATATTCCTGTACTTGTTTGTAGGGAGCAGATCTTACTGGTTCTGCTGAGGGTGACAGAATCCGTCATGAAAAGGCCTCCATCCATCATGCCTCAAGGGAAGAAGATCAACACGCTGTCTGGCAGGCTGGCTGGGCCCATCTTTCAGGTACACAGCTGACACCAATGTTTGGTTTCCATGTCCTTATTCCAAAAGAACATTTAGTTTATTTAGCAACTAGTTATTATTTAAGCAGATTTATATTTATAACTTTATTTTTTTTTTTTCACTCTGCTTTTTCTTTGCAGACTTTAATAGTTGCCTGGATTAAGGGCAACTTGAACGTGTACATCAGCAGAGAACTTTGGGATGATCTCCTCTGTGTGCTTTCCTCTCTGACCTGCTGGGAGGAGCTGGTTACCGAGTGGTCACTCACCATGGAGACCCTCACCAAGGTACTAAAGCTTTCTTACCTTAATGTTGCCTGCATTCTTGCTTCTATATAAACAAGATGGATGGCGTCTCTGTTTCCTAGGTTTTGGCCAGGAACCTGTACAGTGTGGATCTAAATGAGCTGCCTCTTGACAAACTCAGTGAACAGAAGCAGAAGAAGATTAAAGGAAAAGGTTACTGGACTTGGTTTGCTTTGAGAAGTACTTTACAGCGGCCCCAACTGTGACTATGAGAATAGTCTGTTATATTATTACCCCTAACTTGAACAGCCAAGGAGCAGTGCAGGCACTTTATCTGCACTCTGCGTCACGGCAGTAAAATGCCTTGTGAAAGTCATTTTCAGCCACAAACATCAATGTATTTTATCAAGATCTTATCTGATAGACCAAAAATGTCGTAAAGTGAAATCTGAAGCGTTCCCCGAGCATAATGCTGCCACCACCATGTGTTACCATGGTCGGTTTGGGACGAGGGTAGACCTCCATACAGTCTCAATTATTTTCAAGCTTCTAACAGGGTTTCCTTCATGGATTGCTCAGCAACCAGATCCATCTGAGGAGCTTCTTTTAAGAAAATCATCCCCAAAGCAGAATGCCGCCGCCATCGTGTTTTACTGTGGGGACGGCGTGTTCAGGGCGACATGACGGAATTGTGTTTGCAATAAATTTTGTACCCATATATCCCTTTCCTCCATTTTGCAACTGTGAACTGGTCTGAGGTTATAACTTTGCAAGACACAGGAAAATATGTAACACTACAATCACTAGCTGCTCCTAAATGACCGTTATTTATTCGTCCTCCAGTCGGTACGGAGGGCCAGCGGCAGCCCGTGGATCGGTCCTTCTCTAAAGGCTGGAGCAGAGACCAGCCAGGTCAGGCAGCCGCCATGCGCCAGCGGAGCGCCACCACAGCCGGCTCACCAGGCATCGAAAAGGCAAGGAGTATCGTGCGCCAGAAGACTGTAGGTCAGTTCCATCTCTGCTAGAATTCCTTTCATCGTATTTTATATGCTATAACTCATTAATTTAAGGCAGAGTTGCTCATGCTAACCAGCTCTTGTCTGTAATATTTCTTCCCCCATGCCTGCAAATTTGCTTTTATTTTCGGGTTGAGGGTTTCATTCAGGAACTTGAGTGATCCTGTTTGCGGAGCTCCCACCAGCCTCTCACTGTTTCCTTGTATTTTCTGCAGAAGCTAATCCTGAATCAGTGCTCCTCCACCTTCGGTGTTTGTCTTTCAATCTACCCACAAAATGTTTTCTCTCCTTTCTGATGTGTTTTATAGACATGTTCAAATCTGCCTCTCCTCTCAATCTCTAACCAGTTTTCACCTTAACTTCCCCTTTCTGTTCTTTCTTCCTGCTCTTTATTTTCCTAATCACTTTTTGGTTTTCATCCTTACGTCTGCCTGTTTCTGCTCACCTCTCTTCCTTACTCCTCACTACAACTATGCTCTTCTTTTTCTTTCCTCCGTTTTCTCGATTTCTCTTCTGACTTCTTCAGCCCTGCGTAGCTGTTCTACGGGGGACTCTCTGCTCTCCTCAGCCTTTATTCGCAGTGCTAAGAGTGCTCCTGCTCTGGCTCCGCCTCTTCCTGTCCTCCTCCACCACCACCACCCTTTTCTACCCCCTCTTGCCGACCATCTGGCAGGTACACTCTTTTTGCACTACCTGTCTTCCTGCTGCCTGGAAGCCATAGATTCCTGCACGTCTAACTGCCTCTATTAAGTTTGTTTGTTGGTAGTTTGCATGCTTTTCAACAGAAATTCATCCTGTTCTTCAGTTTAAGCCAACCTTGAACACTGATCGGCACTGAAGCAGGAAATTTGATGCTACAGAAAGGCATTTTGACAGTCGGCATTCACTGTGTCTGATATACATCTTTACGCATAGAACTGGACCTACCTGTTGTCCTGTCTCCTTCCTTTTTTACTTTCATTTTTTATATTACGTCCTGCTTGAACTCCTGCTTGTCCATTAAATCACATGCCTGTGTTCTTTTCTTCAAATGTTTGCTTGTCTGTCTTTCTTGTTTAACGTTCACCGCTTGTCATATGTGTAATTTATTTTAATGCAATTATTTCTTGCAGATCCTTCATATCAGAGTCCTCTAATTTTTTCTAAGCATTCTTTATGCTTGTACATGCATGCTGTTTGTTTTCTTATGCGAGTTACAACTGTCACAGTGCATTTTATGTAAAATAGAGAAGCACATATTGGAGATTTGTGGCTTATTTCTGATTTTGAAAAAAAAAATCTTCTTTCTCATTAAGTACTACATGTATTCAGAATATTTTTGTATACTTTGTAAATAAATTGTAAGTTTAGAAGTCTTCATAAGTGGCTATAACAAAAAAAATGCTTTTTAATTTTTAAAAAAGGCAGCTAGAAGTTTTAAAGGTGTCTCTTTGCGGGATGGGCACTGTGCTAAGAACCTCCAGGTTATTGAACTTAGGAGTCATTATATTAAACCCAACTAAAAACAATTACAGCATATCTGGGTTACTCTTAGAAGATAACAGTTCACTTACTTTTTGTCTTATGTCATTCTTTGCATACTCAAATTTCACATCTTTGTTTCTTAAGATGTGACTTTCAGAGATTTTACACCTGCTAAAATTAAACTTTTGTTCTCCATTCGTTTGCTTTTTTGTTTCGACATGAAAACTACACGATATGTTGTCGTCATGGTCGGGTTCAAGGACTAGAGAAGTATAAAGGGCACCTGAAATCCAAAGAAAAGTTTGACTTCCATTCACAAAACCAGGAGTTCTATTTCATCGCTACTGAACACCAGAGGCGATGCTTCAAGCACTGAATGATCGTTCTTGTGCATACACAGGTTGAGTGTTAATCACAACAAAATCACCTCTGACCCACTTATGGTCACATTAGTTTTTCTTGAGTACAGGTGTGATTGTGTGAAGCTGGTATGCTCTGTGTTTACAACTTGCTTGTTGCTATAGCCTCATGACCGGGTATGGTCGGAGCTGCAGGTGAGTTTCACCCACTAGGGGCTGCACAAGCTATTTTTTGCTTTTTAGCAGATCTGCAGTTGTTGCTGCGGTAACTGATAAGTTTTGTTTTTTCTTTTCTAGGGCAGTAGTTTACTGTTTGCCTTAACCCTTGGGGAATTTTAAATTGACTGCACACTTAACACCTTTTTGTCCCAAAATATATAAAATTTATAAAGCTACTAGAAAAATTCAGTATTTATTTTTTCACTTTCACTCCATTAACAGCTTCAGACCTATCCAAATACATGATGTTTTTCATATGTTAATTTTTTAAAAATATTTTTTAATGCCTGTTTTGTCCTAAAAAGCTTGGGAGTTTTTTTGTCTTTGAAGGAGAAAAATCCAAAGTTTACAATATTTTCCAAAAATAAACTCGAAAGCAGAATATTTTAGTTGGGGGTGTTTCACCTTCAATCAAGTTGAAAATTAAAAACATAAATTTGTATGCATTATTATTTTTGAAGTAATAAGAGTTAAAAGCAAAAACCCACACTTTTATCCCCTGTGACTCAAAATGGTACATCTTTTAAAACTGTAATAAAAAAATATACATTTAATTTTTCTTCACTTTAACTTAATTTAATCTTTTCAGCAGCTTCAGACATAACCACAGATATAAAGTTTTTCTCTTTTTTTCTCAATATTTTCTGTTTCATGCCTGTTTTATTCCCCCAAACAATCCATATTTTTGAAGGAGAAAAACCCAAAATATGCAATATTTTTCAAAAATAAACATCAAAATGGAGTGTGGATGTTTCATCTTTGACCAGATCAAAAATTAATATGTTTATGCATTTGTTTTACCTTTGTGACCTAAAATGATACATCTTATAAAAGTGCAAAAAAAAATTCAATATTTTTTTTCCACTGCATTAAATCTTTTCAATAGCTTAAGATTTATCCAAAGATAAACATGCTACGTCACACATCAGCCTTTCCTGTAGATAGATAGAGAAAATACAGAAGAGGCTACTTGACTTTGATTTGTCAAATTACACACACACACACACACACACACACACACACGGATAAAATATTTTCTCAATCACATTCACACTCTCCTTTACATCACTACCAACGCACTAGGACTATTTTTGTGGTGTTCAATATTTTCATTGTTATGCATTTTGAAAGGTAATAGAAGCATTTCCCCATTGAAACTTGATGAAATACAGGGGTGGGCCCTGTGGTAATAATAAGGGGGTCATCACACCTAAAACATTTTTTTCTTGTATTTAGAAGGCAGAAGCTTAGATTAGTTTGGTTTTCAGGTAAAATTTAAAATGCTTAGACAACTGTCCACTGGAAATATTTGGTTATAATGGGAGTCAATGGGACAGAAGGTCTTAAGTGTACACAAAGGCATAAGTTTTGTTCTACATACATTACAGTCAAAAGGAGAAAAAAATTTAAAAGAAAACTAAAATAAAAAGTCCATGTTTCATACAATTAACATTTAAACTGACTGAGGTATTGAGATTTTAGTAAAGAAGGATGCCCCATTTTGATCAGCCAAGAATCCCCAACAGTTAATTTGCTGCATTCCTTGATTGAGTGTTGTGGCTTATATAAATCAAAAGCCGTTAGTGTTTCTGCTCATATGCTGACCACCAGGAAGTGTTGCAGGCCATTGGTTCACTTCCACTTCATGTCCTGATTCCTGCGCCCCATTGGCAGTTTCTTCGTTTTGTTTCCAAAGGAAGCATTTCCAGTGCAGGGTCCTCCCGATCAGACTTTCGCTGTCTCCCAGGGTGTTCACCCGATGCGTCACAGTGGCCCTTTCTCTTGCTGCCACAAGGGTTGGGAATCCTCCCATATCTGGACAAATGGCTGATTTGTGCAGCAACACGGGACCAAGCGGTCCTTGACACTCAGTTAGTGATCGATCAAGTGGGATGCCTGGCCTGCAGGTGAACATGGAGATAGCAGTCTGACTCTTTCACAGGAGACCATCTTCCTGGGCGTTGCCATGAACTCCCTCTCCATGACTGCTTGACCATCGCCCCAGTGGATTGACAGTATATTAAGCATGATCCTGGAAATTAGGCTTGGTGTGGCGCTACCTCTTGTGTGGTATCCTCAACTTTTGGGTATATTCACACTCGGTTTTACAGGGTGAATGTGACTCTGCCCATCCGCTTCAGGGACTCCTGGAGCAGCATCCATGAACATCACACTGAGGTAGGTGTTGTTGTGGTTGTCCCTTGGATGTTGCAGATTCTTTGTTACCTTGTTGACATAAGTCATCCAGTGCTTGAAGCACCGCCTCTGGCAGTCAGTAGGGATGAAATAGAACGAAAGTTACAACTGTAACTATGGTTCTATGAATCCCGGATGACCACCAGAATGCTTAGATCCTTGGAATCTTTGCGTCTTTCGAAAAGGTTGAGGAATTGAGCGGCATGTGTCATGTAACTATATAGAGTCACGCGGGTCACCTAGATTGTAGGTCAACCGTGGGTCGACCTACACATGCGCAAGACTGATCATTCAGTGCTTGAAGCACCGCCTCTGGCGGTCATCCAGGATTCATAGAACCATAGTTGTAAATTCCAAACTATTGACTAAGGCCACTTTGAAATATTACAAGAAAGTCTCTTTGAAAACAAAAAACAAAGCAAGTTAGGAGGGGTTTAACACTTTTTCACATATTTCCTCTGACAAAAATTGAAAGCAAAAACAAAAGGAACTCATATTTTAGTTCTGATAGTTACTTTTATCGTCTGTTGTGATTCACTAAAGTTAATTTATGTGATGAGCTATCAAAATGCCATTCATCTTGTTGCTATATATATATATATATATGCGCGCACACACACACACACAATTGATTAGGAATGACAATGAAGCAGAATAAGGAGTCTTCCGCAGCACTGCAATTGCATATTAAATGCATGTCACAGTGGGTTCTATGTGTTAAGCTCTTCCACACTTATTCCAGGGATCTCATGGTCTCTGGTTTCATCACCCTCTAATCACCAGATCTCGAGGACCCCCCCATCACGCTGACGTCCCGCACCTCACGAATGCGGCACTCATCACAGAGCGACGAGACCCCGCCCACCACCTGTTCCGAGATCTACCAGGGGGGAGCTTGTGACCTGGACACCCCGGCGCCATCCTCCCTCGCCCGGAGTAGCAGCGCCTCTGACATCATGGAGCCCTTCATCGCCGAGCGGGTCAAAGGTGAAGACACCCAGCGGGATCCCATGTCCTTCCTGAATCCTCCGCACCACCACTCCACAACTACCTTCTCACTTGCAGCCAACAGCCACACAACTCCGCCTCTCTCACAACCCCTCACCTCCCCTAATCCCACACCTTTCACCCTCTCCAATGGTGTTTCCTTGTCCTCAGAAACACAGGATGATGCTAGTGTTTATAACCAGTCCTGGCTCCGAGCCGGCTCCGGAAGCCAAGGCTCTAGCTCTGACTGGGTGAGCGACTGGGACTCCGCCTTCGCTTTTTCATCTGAAAAGGAAATTGACGCAGATGAGGGGGAAGTGGGGTGTGAAGCCGAAGAGGACGATTTATTCTCCTCCATCAGAGACTACCTCATTCAGAAAGGAGGCGAAAAGAAAGACGAGGTCAAAGAGGGAGGCGGTGCTGGTCATCTATTAGAAGGTTTTGTGACTTTACCTGCAAATGAGCAAAGCAGGGAAGCTAGATCCCAGTTAGAGGAGGAGAAGCAAGTGGTAAATGAGGACAGGCAGGTAAGTAAATCAGTGAGGCACAGGAGTGTGGACTCCACAGAGGAGAGTGAGGCAGAGCAGCGCAGTATCTACGAGTGTTTGGAGCTACAGTGTGAATGGCCATCTCCCAGTGTTAAAGGGAGCACTAGCTTAGAGAGAAACTCGGAGGAGAAAAAAACAGCTGGAGCAGTACACGAAGGGAAACTTGAATCGTGGGGTGAGATAGGAGAAGAGAAACAAGAAGATAAAGGAGAATCAAAAGAGAGGGCGCGGTTGATTAGACAGAATTCAGTCACAGCCGAACCTAACACTGAATCATCAACTCCTCAAACCTCCGACCCTGCTAAGTTAAAAATGTCTCGCAGTGGCATCAAGCGTCATCAGTCCGCCGGGGTCCATGTCAGCTTCCGGCCCTCCACCGAGTCCGTCCAGTTCCACAACCCCTTGGAGAACAAGGAGGCCCACTGGAGAGCCAGGTTGCGTCGCCTCAGTCATTTCCACACTCACAGCCATTCAGCTGGGGAGAGGACGGCCAGAGCTGGGGTGGGCTCAGGGGGAAAGCTAGGAGCAGAAAGTCCAGGTAAGTTCGGCCCAGGGAACGGAGCTGGCCATAAAACACGAGCAAACGAGAAGTTGTTGCCCGGAGCTCCTGCAGGTAGCAGAGATTCCTCTGTAGACAGACTGGGGACAGGAGGGGAAAAGCAGCTCCCAGGGTCCTGTACCGCGTCCGGTCTGGGCCCAGAGGTCAACTCCGAGGGCTCGTCGAGTTCCTCAGGAGTGCGAGGACGTTTGGGACGCTCTGCCCTGCGTTCCCGAGTCTGCCGCTCACGCTCCCAGGAGCCCGGCATCACTACCTCACGACACCACCAGGGCGCTCTTCTCGGTGGCATGTATAAGACCGTTGTCCACGCCCTGTCCTCCAAACCTCGGCCCAGAGGCCAGGGGTCATCCCAGGGGTCATCGCCGCAGCGACAGACCAGGGCCAGCTCGGGTGACGCCTCGCTAAAGGATCTCTACTCCCACGTCCTGGGCTACTTTGGAAGAAAGACGACAACGCCAGGTGAGGATTGAGGCGAACGAAGTGCTCAGAGAAGACAAAACAGTGGAGAGAAATGTTCACCAACACACAATCACCAGCCGTTCTCTTTCCTTTTTGGCTGTTTTTAACTGGTTTGTTATGATGGAATGATATTTTTGGCTGAAACTCATCATCTTGCTCTTGGACTGAACCTGAAACTCCCTGTTGATGTTTTGCTCTTGAACGTAGCCCCCCCCACCCTCCTCCAGCCTGCCTCCTTTCGAGGACCCCACGTCCTTCCACCGCCTGTCACCTGTTTCTGTAGGCCAGAAGCTCCATCCCTCCTCCTGTCCTCTCTTTTTTAAGGGCTTCGGGATTTTAACCTTTGCACCTCCTTCCCCATCTTCTCCCCCCTCTCCTCGACTTTTGCATGCGGCCTCTTTGGGTCTCTTTTACTTCCTCCCTGGAAACTGTAGAAGAAAACGACAATCTACTGTCTGGAAAAAAGTTAAAAATGTCAACAAAACTAAAACTAACTACAATTGAGAATGATGTTGGATGTTTAGCTGGATGTTCCATCTTCAGATCCTTGTTTGCTGTAGGACAATGAATATTAAGTAGTAAAATAGGCTATACATTTCCACTCCACTAGATGGCAGCACAAGACCTTTTGAGAACAACCAGTGTCATGGTAGTAAGGTGAACTTAATTCAGTAAGGAAGAAATAGTTTGCTGAAATGGTTATTTGCCCAAATATTAAGTTAATGGTTACTATTTAACCACCATTACAAATATTTCAGTTGATTCTCATCCTGAGGGAAAGTTTGGTGAAAATATTTTACAAGAGTACAGAGATTCATCATTTGAATCTGTCTTGATGTGGAGCTGCTGCTACATCTCCTTTTCTCAACATGTTTTTTGTTTGTTGCTTCTCAACAAGTGCCACTTTTTTCTTTTGTTTTGTCAACTTATTTGTAACACAGGTAATGAAGTGATGCTGTGGCATCCTGAGCTATTTTAACAGCAGTGTTGAAATAGAGGTTGTTTCCTTGCATGAATTCACTGACAGCAAATTTACTTCTTTGTTTATTTTTTAAAGCTACACTCATGGTTAAAGGTCATTCTCTTTCAGGGCTAGGGTTTTATTTAATAAAGCCTAATAAAAATAATCAGATCTTTACCAATTTCTAAGATTACTTAAACTAATAGTCATACAAATGTAAACAGCAGACTGCTGGACCACTCCCTAAAATTATTATTATTTCCAGTCAGAAGAAATATTTAGGTAAAATTAAATTATTGCTTTTAACCTAAATCCACTTTAGCTGTTAACAATTGAAGGCTTTGTTTATTTACTATAATCGTCCTATAGGACTGAGGGATCAACATTAATGAAATAATCTTTCAGTTATAATTATTGGGGCAAAAAAAAAATATTGATACATTTATTGATTTCTAGAGTATACACACAGAGTAACATCTGTTGTTAGATTTTAGTTGTGAAGGTTCTACAGTTGTACTTTAATTTTACAGAACTCATTTTCTGTTGGTTTTTGTGATTTCTCAGGTATTATTGACATAATTCAGATCGTTTGTACAAGCATATAGAAATCAAAGACGTTGTATATGGGAGCAAATATATTTTTAAGCAAGCCCATAAAATCATATTCCATTCACTCATGATGGCAAATAACCATTACAGTTGAATACTCTGCAGATCCTGACTTCTAACATGCTGCTCCGGGGTAATGTCTTTGCAGTTGCAGCAGGCTACTTGTGTGCAGAACTTAGTTTGGATTTGTTTCATGTTGCGTCACATTGCAGACAGAGGTAAGATTAAACCTGCAAGGGTTCACAGTTTAATGTTTTCGAGCGGCTGTGGTATTTTAAAGCCAGTCTGGTGGCTATAAAGGAAATCCTGACACTTTATGTTGAGTAGCTGAAAGCTTTATTGACCTGTTATTGGCCTGGAAGCAGCCATAGATCCATGAGATAGATTTGATCTGCAAAGAAGGTGGCAGATTTACTGCAGAACAATCTTAAATTTTTAATCGCTTCCTGCTTTTACACTCACCCCCCAATCGCTTTCGTTGCATCCAAGCTAATAGCATCATAAGCCAAAGAATCGTAACTGCACTAATATTAGACCTCTGGTTTTCTACTTGTTTGACTAAGTGATACTCTCTCTTTTACTTTTTGTGCATGATTCAGTTTAACTCCTGCATTGCTTATCTGAGATGTGGTGCGCCTGCTGTTTTGGCTTTTTGTTTATTTAACAATCCTCAAGAATCCCCAAAGTACATTCACATCAGGACTGCTCTCACAATTAGGAGAAACATTAGATTCAGTTTATGAGTGTTGTGATATTTTAATGTAAATTCACATTGCTTAATCATCTGCTGCCGTTATGCATCTGTAGGAAATGTCTAGAATAGCCATCTATAAATCACACAACTTATTGGCCTCAGACGAAGCTGATGGTGGTGGCTGACACAACCAATCCTGTGTTATTCACAGTTTCTCCACAGTCTTAAAAAGTTCCTGGCATTTGCAACAAAGTTAACTAAAGTACAGAAAATCATTTGTAACTCTGGAATGTTCTAGTTTTCAACACATAAAGTCTGACTTTCTGAAGTTAATGAACTCATTCACATATTTGAACACATATGGTTTCTCATTTGAGATAATGTCATGAAAAATCTATCTTAAATTAACATAGTAAGAAATTGCTCTAGATGACTGCTCTCACACTGTTGTTGATTGATTTAGGCCTATAGTTGAACAGTTTAGTTTTCAGTACCTTAATATTTTGATCCCTGAATAACAACGTTCAGCTAACTGAACATTTCTAAAGCTACCTGTCATTGGGAAGGTGTTCCTCTGGTGATGAAACAAGCTTTTTATAAGGTTTTCCATGCTTTAGAAATCCTGATACGTCCTCCCCTGACATATACTTTATTACTTCTTTCCCTTTAAGTATTCATGTGTTTGACTGCAAAAACTTTCTTAAAGTTTATTTGCTTTTGCGTGTGTGTAGCCAACAAAGAGGAGGTGGTCCAGAAGGCTCGCCCCGTGTCCAGCGACGTTGGAAGCAGCAACCCAAACTTCTCTGACCTGATGGATGAGTTCATTCAGGAAAGACTGAGAAACAAAGGGACAGTGGTCAGTATATCTTGGACACATTTATTTGCAATTATATTGGCATAAATCATCAAAGCTGTAAGCACCACCGTCCCTCTGACGAACAGGGTCGTCGAGGAAGCAGTCCAGTGGGCCTTGAGGTTCCCAAGGACCTGCCAGAGCTCCTGGAGGCCGGTCAGGGGGCGGGGTCGAGACCCACAGATGACCCTCGACCTGTTGATGACCCTGGAGTTCCCTCTGAGTGGACGTCACCTGCCAGTGCCAGCGGTTCCGATGTCATCAGCTCAGACAGCCAGTCGGATTCCTTTAATGCCTTTCAGTATTCAGCATGCAAATTTGACAGTAAGAAACCGACTTTATCTCTGATGCACTCCTAAGATATAAAGAGAAGAAAAATCTGAATCAGTTCTTTTGTTTATTGTTATTAGTTTTGTTTTTATTTGTTCTAAATGAAATCCCAGAGATGTCTTTTTTACAATTCAATAGACTGTACTGTAGCTGCACAAAATATCAATTCATAATTGAAATATCAACATGTCGCATCACAGTTTAAAACTTGGATCTGCAACCTTTGTATTTAAAAGAGCCATTTTTCCCTTAGTCCAGCTAAATAAAACATGCTTATCGGCAAAACGTTACACGATCTTTTGAGAAACTAGACTGCTTATAATTTTTTATAAATATCTCCAATAGAAAATGTGTTTTTGCATTTAAAGAACCATCATTTTATTTCTATTTTTAGATGTTTAAACAAAGAAGTATATAGAAGTGCTTCAAGTAAAAGTCAAAATCCTTGCCTGGGCACACAATCTTGGCCTGTAAAGCACATAGTTTCCAACCTAAATACCTGATTACTGATTATTTTGGAGTCATTATTTAGTGCAGGGGTGGCCAAGTCCAGTCCTCGAGAGCCACCATCCTGCAAGTTTCAGATGCATCCCTGCTTCAACACACCTGAATCAAATGACTGGCTCGTTATCAGGCCTCTGTAGAGCTGATCCCGGTCTGTTGGAGTAAGGATACTTCTAAAACTTGCAGGATGGTGGCTCTCGAGGACTGGACTTGGCCACCCCTGATTTAGTGGATAAGTGCAATTTTTCTATTAAAAAAAAAAATCTGGAAAATCGCTAAAACCTGTACTTGTCACAATTTTATTTAAATCCATACATTGGTCCTTTATTATTAAATGCCAAAGTTATGAAGAGTCACTTGAATCTCCAGCGCCACAGGATGCAGACCCCTGGTTTAAAGAACATTTTGGCTCTAACCATCCAGCCATAAAATATTTGTTTTTCCCCTTTTTTTTTTTTTTTTTTTTTTTTTTGAGATTTTGCATTCAGTTCAGATGCATGTGGAGGAGGAGCGGGGTCCACAGGAGGCGGCCGAGGCAGCTCACTGGACCAGGACAGTCTAGGAGGCGGCTTAGCCTGTGACGAGCAGGAAGTGGCCAGTTTGACGACAGTCCACATTGACTCAGAGACCAGCAGCCTGAGCCACACGGTTACCGTTACCGGTACGTTTCGATGAAGTTGTCCAGTAATAAAGCACCAGGAACAATTATTATCAGGAGATGTTTGGTTCTCCGTTCAATTCTACATGTCTTTCTGACTCTTGGTTAGGCTCCGAGAGTGCCTCGCCCATGCATTCCCTCGGGGGCTCCCGTTCCCAGACCCCCTCCCCAGCCACGCTGACAGCTGAGCACGCTGATCACACACACAGTCACTCACACGCACACTTGCAGCTGGACCAGAAACTCCACAGCTCTGTACTCCAGACCCCAGATGATCTAGGTAAAATTGACGGTGGAAGGGAAGGGAGAGGGGGGTAAATAGTTTTAAGAATGCAAACATTACAAAAATCCTATAAGTGTTCTCGCTTTATTCTCCTCCAACCAAACAAGAGTCTCTGATTGACGTATTGATTCCAGAAACAAGCGAGTTCCCCAGCGAGGACTGCAGTGTGATGGCAGGCGGCTCTCTAACTGGATGGCACGCAGATGTTGCCACGGTTATGTGGAGGAGGATGCTGGGTATCCTGGGAGATGTTAACACCATCAAGGACCCAGAAATCCATGCTCAGGTTTTTGACTACTTGTGTGAGCTGTGGCAGAACTTGGCCAAGGTTAGTACAGATAAATCTGTCTGCTGTGGAAATAATTTTAAAATTTTCATCAGGGATTGGAGTTTAGTGGCATTTCTGTTTTCAGATCAGGGATAATTTGGGGATTTCTCTGGACAACCAGTCGTCCCCACCACCTCCTGTTCTGATTCCTCCTCTAAGAATCCTCACCCCCTGGCTCTTTAAGGTAAGTGTGATCAAGAAATATATGGAAATATATTTGCTTCATATTACAGGGAAGAAAAATAAACAGTTTTTTTTGTGTGTCTCTGCATATTTCCTTTAGGCCACCATGCTGACTGAGCGTTACAAGCAGGGAAAGCTTCATGCCTACAAACTAATCTGTAGAATAATGAAAAGACGTCAAGACGTTTCCCCAAACACCGACTTTCTCATGCACTTCTACAACATCATGCACCAAGGGCTGCTGCACCAGGACCAGGTCTGTGTTACAAGGGGATTCAATTGTAAACAATATGAGTAACAATGGGGAAAATTCAACTCAGCTCGGGAGACTTCATTGAATATTTGATGACACTTTAATGGCAGATAAAATGTTCAACATACCATTAATAAATCAAATATTTCTGCCACTGTCTGCTTACGGTGGGGATATTCTGCCACTAGAATATGTCTTGGTCTTATCTTTTAACAGTTGACAAGGTTGGAGCAAACAACCTTATGCACTTTTCTCTTAGGCTCAGTTCAGAGCTTTTCTGTAGGATTTGTCATGGATAAAGATTAATGTTCAACCACTTTAGCTTATTATCCTACTCAACTTCCAGGGACAGACCATTTCCAGATTTTTTGGCTAAAGCCATCAGACCTTTTTTTAATGGCTGTACAGTAGCAGAGTATCTGGTTCTCTAAACTGCTTCAGAGCAATCTTTAGAAAGCCTGGGGAGGTGTTGATACATGACTACTGGAAGAATTACCATCAAGTCTGGCTACTTAGACACAAAATATAAGAAAATAGAGGGATTAGTCAAAATGTTTCCAAAGCAGTTTGTCCCTAAATTATAATTCTGCTTCATACTGAGAAGAAGTGTTTTTGACAAACTGTCTTCTTCAGGATATTGTGAACACCATCATCAAGCACTGCAGTCCCAGGTTCTTCAGCATCGGACTTCCCGGAGCCACCATGTTGATCCTGGACTTTATCATCGCAGCTTCCAGAGTCACTGCATGTTCATCGCTCAATGTGAGGCACAAGGATGCACAGAGTCCTAAAGAGGAATACACTGACTTAAAAGTTTTCAAAAAATGGCAAGCTGTGAATAGACAATGATTGAGGAATTTATTTAATTCCCTTTTTTTTTTTTTTTTCCCCTCCAAGGCTCCAAGAGTCGAGGCCCAGATTCTTCTTGGGTCTCTGGTGTGTTTCCCCAACTTTTATGAGGAACTTGCTGCTCTCCATCCGACCACTGCCGACGTTGTACGGACTAAATTCCCCGAGGTCAAGGTACGTGGAGGTACCTTCACCTGCTGATTTGTGTGGTTGGAGCAGGTCGCCATGGCAGCCACAGGGGTGGGATGAAATATGCTTTTTAAACATGCTCAAAAACTTTCATCTATTTTCCTGTGCCATCCAGGTCAGTCTTGATGCTTTAACTCAGGTTTGCTTGTCCATAGGGGATCTCAGCACAGAATATTAGGTTAATGTCTCATCAGCTATTCCTGAAACGGCTCAGAGCTGTGGGAGTAATGTTGTTTGTGTTGTTGTTGCTGTGTAAACAGTTAATGCCATGCGTGGCAGCACCTCAGGCCCTCTCTTTGGTTTCTTACGAGCCAGAACCCGGTTTTGAATCACTAAGCGATCATTAACACCGACTGAAAAGACCAGCAAGTGTGCGAATTTGCCTTAACTTGTTGTGTTAACTTGATTGTGTGCTATAGCTTGCATACCACTTAAAGTGACTCTTCATTACAAGCACCAGTTGTAGAAGTTTTCTGCTGCTGTTGCTGACAAAGTCTTTAAATCTTTGTTGTGTTTTTTTTTTTAAGGAACACGTTATCAAAACCATCCTGACCTCTGCCAGGGATGAACCCTCTGCTCCTGCAAGGTATGTGTCAGATGATGATTTTTATTTTTTATTTTTTTACCTTTGAGTGTGTGTATTATAACTCGCTGCTTCTGTCCCCGCTCTGTCAGATGTGTGGCTTTGTGCAGCCTGGGTATCTGGCTGTGTGAAGAGTTGGCTCATGGAACTGAACATCCTCAGATTAAAGAAGCTCTCAATGTAATCTGTGTGACCCTGAAGGTAGGTTTTATAATTATTAGTTATATTTTGTCCCATTTTTTTTTTTTTTTTTTTTTTTTTATACATCCCACATGTTATAGCACTTACTATCACGGTTCCACTTCTCTCACACTGGATGATGACCCTATTATTATAAGGTTAAAAAAAGAATAAAAATGAGCCAGATTGTGGATGGTCTAAGCAGAGTCTTGGTGAGTTCTTCAATAGTGCTTAAAGGACCAAAAGGCTACTGAAATTATAAGGGGAGACTCG